AGCCTTCGTCGTTCGCCATACCTATCAGTCTTTTGAGCTCTGCCGATGCGGATCGATATCTGCGGAGGAGGGCGAATACCATTCCATAGCAGCATTTCTATTCCATACACTCACACACAATACCTTCGCTTTCGCTGCGGGCTTTCGGAGGTGGTGCCTCGGTAGCGCTCCGTCTCATCTCGATCGGCCAATACTATCGTCAAGGTAAGCAATCGTCCGTCCTCAAGATTTCCATCGGAAACGAATCCATCGTTCGCGTAATTCCAGGGAGTCCCTCGTCGGGCTTCGGCGATCTACCCTTTCCATGCAGCGGGCACTCTCACCGCAGTTCCCGGTCTCGGGTGCGGGATTCCAGTGGTAGACTAGCACGAGCCACTCGAAGCACTCGTTGCACCTTTCCTCGACATCCCGACTGACAGGCAGGCTGGCAAAGGCCGGTAGTAACTCAATAGCTTCCGATATTTAATTTATTTCTTCGATACGCACGAAAACAACTGCGACGACGGCGGCGGCGGCGGCACCAACAACAACCACAGACAAAAGGAGAGCGGCCGAGAGAAATACTCCCGGAGACAGAAACAGCCCGCTGCTTTCCTGCCAACAAACACGAATGGCAGACCACGTCTTCCTTTCGATGCAACCGATGGGGCGAGATTGGCAATAAAATCAGACCGTTAGACACGTTTCGGGCATATGTTTACATGCATGCACATACGATGCAAGGGAGAGATCGAGCCTTCGTTGCGGATATTTGACCCATCGCAAATAGATACTACATATGTTCAGATTAATATGAGAGAGATCCAATTCTCTGACTGAGAGAACAGGAAGTTTTGAGGCATCGACGTCTGACGCTCATTCGCGGAGTTACTCTCCGCCTATTCCCCTGACTGCCCGGAGACCACCTCCGATTTCCCTCAGTCCCCTCCGACTCTTCTTCTCCGGGCTCGAGTCGCGTACAGGAGGGTGTCGGTGACGCTCACGGTCTCAACTTTCAGTGAAAGCGAGCGGGTCTGGCGGCACATCTCTCGCTCGATCGCAGGTCCATCAGGGGGTCGCGCGCGCTTGGCGATCATCGTCGCCGAAATGGCGATCGTATTCGCTGTCGTCGATCGTAGAGACTCAGCCAGACAGTTTGAACGCTCACGGGTCCCCTACTTTTCTATTTTTCTTTTTTTTCATTTCCGAACGAGGCAGGCGTCGCCAGAGACGCCCGCCGCATTTCTTCAAGGAGCTACGCCCGGCTTTCCGCTGCCGCCGCGCCGTCAGCCGTTCAATACGGCTGAAACAGCGCTGGCCGTAAAGACCGATGCGGACCCGACGGACGAGTGGACGGAGCGACAGACGGTCAGTCAGCCGATCGGTATCAAATAAACGAAACGTCCACCGCTGTCATTAATCTACCGTTGACGTTCACGTCTGCGGCATTCGCTGCTGCCACCCTACCCCGCCAGCCCTGAAGCCACTCGGGATCATTCCAGTGTCCACCGTCAATGGAGTGATGCGCCGCATCGATGGAGTGACGCTACAATGGCTCAATGAAGTCGTACGGAATTTTTTTCGACAAATGGAGCTTGACAGTCGACGCTGAGACCGAAAAACTGCAGTCAGAGAACAAACGACTGGAAAATCAACGCTCATCTCATGAAATAGAATTAAGAGCGAGAGAGCTTCTCGATCGATTTCTCGTTGCATCCGGGCGAGTGAGCTCATCAGGACGAATCTGGAACCGCACGCCGCGCATAGTGATCGAATCGAGCCCCTGATCGGGATGGCCATGAGACGCTTCACACGGACGCTTCGGATAGTCAGCATCCAATCCTCACTAACAATGGCATCGTTCGGATCCGTGAGCTGGCCCGCCGACAAGGAAGACTACATGGAGAGCAGGATCGGGGACGAGCGAGCGACCGACCGACCGAGCTAGGAGTTGACGAAGCCGAGGCTTCCACCCCAATTTTTCGAGAATTCAAAACCAATGCTGCGTCATTCGCGCGCTGTACCCCTTTCTCGACTCGCTGTTCAATAAGTTTTTCACTCTGTCTGTGAGCCAGTCTAGATCTCAGGGGCGGGGGACGAGAGGAGGTTAGAGGGAAGTTGAAAGGGACAGGCAGGGTGAGCGAGCGACTCCCGGGAGGAAGGGCGACACGAGGGGCCACAGTAGGACGGGGACGAGCTAGGTCGCTAACCAGTCCAAGGCTGGCTGGAGCATGCCAACTCCGAGATAGGGCCCAGCTGATCGTCTGTGAGTGTTCGGAACGCTTCATTGGACAATCGGATCGAGGAGCTCCGAGGAGCTGAGGGACGTTACTTGACGGGATCAGAGACGTATAGGCGGTTCCGCGCAGAAAAAAAAGGTCTGAAGGCGCATGGGGATCGAGGCCGTCGACGTGAGGCTGAAAGACTGTTGCGAGCCGCTTTTCGAACTGCCAAACACGGCTGTGACCGACAGCTCGCACTTCCCTGGTCATCTATCCCCCTCCACACACAAAACGGGTCTCGAGATATGATGAACGTCGTACAGACACTGAGTACCATCCGAATCGACGAATATGTATCCCAAAATGCAGCGGGTTGGCAAGTTTTTTGTCATAGAGTGAATTTCCTTTCGCCATGCCTTGCACTCAGTTCCGGTGTCTGCCGCGGTACTGTGGCTCTGTCTACTGATCATTTGTTCCGCAAATGTTTGGCTTCTCCTATATTCATGTGAGTCTCCGAGCTCTGCTCGACGTTCCCTCCTCTTGGGGGAATCCTATCACAGCAGAGAAATTACTCTCGTCGAGATCTCGCCGGGTACCGCAGTGCGTTTTGCCGCGAATTCGTGAACCGCACGTTCCGTAGCCCAGAGAATCGGGGTCGAAGTATGCCTTAGCGTCCATATCTTGTGGACACATTCGTTTCTTTGTCGACTTTTAGCGGATCGCTTTGCCTTGGACAAATCGCCGACGAATTAAATTTCGGACTTTCTCTCGGGCAATGTGCTCTGAGTGTTCTCCGGCGATGATCGCCTGGACTGACCCTCTGAAGATTTTTCCTTAGGATTGCAGACGAAAAATCCTGGTAAACTTACAGGGGAAAAAAGAAGACGGACTCCATAGTGAGCCACAACCATTCGCCTATCGAGCGCATTTGCCCTCGACGGCGACGACGGCAGAAGCGATGAGAGCGACGTGCCTCCGAGTCGATCCGTTGGCTCAAGCTCCGCTCCCGAATTCGTGAAAGAAGGAGGAGGAAAAAACACAGACTCATACTGTGCGATCTTTCTGCGAATCTAGAGCTCACTATGAGTTCCTTCGCTCGCTCGCTTGCTCGTTCACCCTCCTCTCGCCCGCTCACCGATATCGTGTAATGGGTCTAAAGAGGTATCTGGATAAACACGCTAAGGACAACCGCGAACGAAAAAAGAGAGGAAGGAAGTAAGACTGAACCCGAGCGGGGAAGTGTAGACGAAACGTTCGAATTGAATTGTGTTCGCTCGACTGTTACGATACCCGTAATACTTTATCTCTTCACGGACTCGATAGCAGCTCAACGCACGAGCAGAACAACGAGAGGCGTGGGTTGGACAACGCCGTCATCGTCGTTGAGAGTTTGGCACGGTTGCCGATATTGACTCCGAAGTATGGCAGACTTGCTTCGTCATTTTGTGTGAAACGGTCAAAGTGCGTCAAATGGCGTTTCACACTTTCGGATGTCGCCTTCAATCTCGGCTTCTTCATCGGTACATGTATCGACTTGACTCGGACAGCCGACAAACTTTCAGAAAAAACGAGGCGAGCAGCCACATAGGATCAGGCGAAGCCGGGAAACCGATTCCTAGTGCCCGAGCTCAGAGAGAGCATCGCCGAAAACCGAAACATTCACTGATATCCGTGGTCGGAATTTCGCTCGTGAAATCATACATGGCGTTCCGGGTCGGTTGTACCCCCTTGTTTCCGCCGGTGGGGACAGAAGCAATCGCGAGCAGGGTTCGAGAAATTCGAAACAAAACAAGAAAACGAACCAGCGGCGGAATCGGGCGCCTCAAAGGATTTATACATCGGATCTGCGAATTCCCCTTTGCTGTCGCCGTCATCATCAGTGCCATTATCGTCGTCATCGTCGATTTCGTTTCGCTTTGCTTTCTGGGCTTTAATACCAAGACAAACTTCCTAAATCGCTGTTTGAGTCTTTTGTCGTCTTCGACCCTTTTGTTATGCTCCGATTTGTTTCCTGATTCCTCTTCTCTTGGATCATCGATGGGTTCGCATTCATCCGCGCGTCGGAAGATCAGACACACGAACCTAGAATCGGGCATCTAGCATAACGCTCACGCGGCTGACTACCGATAGTTGGTTTGCTATGGTCGCCCAGGATCGGAAGAAAGTCGTTTCGAGCAGCGACGGCGGTGGTGGCAGCAGGAGAACGAGTTCTCAACTATTCGAACAGGCGTCCCTTCGATCCCATCTGGGGTGGCTAGGCGGCATCGTAGGCAAAGCTAGGCTAAGCACATGACTCATCGGCGATAACCAATACGAAAGGGTTGCAGCAGCAGAATCAGCAGCAGCCAGCAAACCTCCCCCGGCGCGCTTGTTCCCCACCTCCTAGAGCTACAGCTACCACCACTATTTCTCCCCCACCCCCTTGTTAGTCTGTATGTGTGTGTGTGTGTGTGGGAAGAGAATTTTTAGCCTTTAAGGCTGCTTTAAATCGGGAGGGCGCCCATCAACTAGCTCCCCGAGCACCCCGCCCCTTTTCTCCTCAAAACCCTGCTTCACTCACCCGGTGAGTGAACAACGGGTCATCTACAGCCGCATTTACAGTTAAACCTCTCCTCTGGCTCTCGTACAATCCGCATTCTGCTTTGGACTTTTATACCCGCTATCATAATCTGAACGGTGCCGTATCCTTCGAGCGAGGATCATTCTGTGATGAGCTGTTGATTATTCAGCTAGCCCGATCTATTAGGATCCGGATTACTTCGATTCGCATCCCGGCTACAACGGATGTGGATAACTCACCTGAGTAGAACGATCTACGTCAATCATGAGCATGGCAACCTCATAGCTCGATCGCTGGGTCGCCCTGAAACAAGAAGGATGGAATATTACTCCGGATTCCAGCAAGCTCCGATCCGATAGCATTCTAGTGATCTCGAATAATGGGGCCAAACTCCATCTGTAAACCATTCAGCCAGATAGAAAGCAGTATCAGTCCCCGTGAACCTTGACAAGGTCGACGAGTTTTTTTCTCTCTCGAAAATCTATCTGGGCACGTCTTGAGATGTTCTGTTGGTCTCCGTTCTGCTTGTGACACTGACTACGGATGAACGGACGGATGGGCGAATGAATGAACGATACAATGACCTATCATGAATAGCGGTGTAATGAACAAGTTTTTTGCTCTCCACCCGGCATCGCAGTGGCCGCTAGCGGGCTCGTCTTGCTCGCTAACTCGATGCTGGTGCCGCCGTCACTGATGATAATATATCGAAGCTGAGACGGGGCGGCAGGGATAATAAATGAATAATAATGACATTATTATTATTATTTTTATTTATATAGCTCCTTCCACTGAGGGCTGTCGCCGGCGCTGAAGTCACAGAGATGGCGTATGTATTATTACATGAACGGAAGGGCGACCGGAACGGGACTAAGAGGGTTGGAAGGCTCTCGGCAGGCGGGCAAGGGGTTTGGGATAGCAGGATCGGAGACAAGGAAGGACGCACATGAAGCAAGAGGCAACGGGGGAAGCTACCCGGCCGTCCGACCGGCCGACGGATGGACTCACGGGCCGGCGAACGGCAGCGGTGACGTCGTCTCACTCCACTAATATAAATGGCGCACAAATGATCAAATTAATGATGCTTCAGCAGGCCCTACTTATAAATAGAGGAGATGATGGCCAATGATGGCGACAAGATGACGACAACCGACCCTAAATGAAGAGTATATATAAGAATCCTCGAACCGTCCCTCGCTGATCTTCCGATTCCTCTGTCCTGATCCCCTCGTCAGGACATCATGACCCCTACCCCGATATCCCCTGCCTGTCTCCTTCGTGGAATGCCAATCCAAGTGTTTCAAACTGCGTCATTAGGCGCTCTCCTTCGCAGTATTCTCTCATCGGAATCTGCGATAAGCTCGAGTTTTATCCCAGAGATAGGATTCGGAGAGGTGAGAGACAAGCTCTTCGGATCTCGAAGTCGCGCTGCTGATATCGATGCGGCGTTTCGAAGATCCTACGGTCGCTTCGAAAGTAAACGCAGAATACCACTGGCTTCGAAAAGTTGTAAAGGGTGGGGGTGGTTGAAATAGCGGCGATCCGCGCGTGCGCTACATCAAACATGATTGAACAGAGTTTTTTTCTCTTCTCGGCTGGTATGCTTCGTCTTCCGTGGACGTACGTAACGTCATATGCGTGGCAGGAGGTCCACGAAGGAGCAATCCGACGGGGGACCATCTTCAAAAACAAGACACACCACAAAAACAGTTCGACAGCCAGCCAGTCAGCGATCCAGACAGCCGTTTAAGTAACCAATAGGCTGGACAGGCGCTCACCCTCCCGAAGCTCGGAAAAAATCGAGAACCAGGCAAGGGAAATGATCAGAAAGTGGATAACGTGGAGCAAAACCTTTTGAGATGAAGAAATGATTCCAGGACAAGCTCCGCCGATCATGGATTCGACCTCGCTGGGAATCGTATCTTCCAATTTCCACAATGAAATCTGGGCTTGTCTCTGTCGGAGGATCCGCGTCTTCGTCCTTTTCCCCCATCCGTCTGCCGGCGGTAATTGATATTAAGAGTCGCATCTTCCTTGGACGTCCGATCATTCAGAGCACGCCCCCGCCGAGTATTTTTTCTCGCCGATGCCGATAAAACGAACAGAATTCTCGCCGGATCGTTTGAGACGAGAGCGACTCCGCTCTGTATTCCTCTACATCGGAGTCTCTTCTGCTCATGTGATCGTTCCGTTCCGGCATGATACTGAGAAGAACACTGAAGATCTCGAGGAACGGAAATAATTATTTTTTGAATTCAGTTGCGGTTGCTTGCGCCTCGAGACTTTTTGATGGATTACTTATCGCTGGCCGACATGAATGGATACTACGGGACCTTCGTCGGCCTAATTTGGCGGAATGGCCAGCCCCGATGACGGCGGATATGCGACGGCGAGGACGATGGGATTGGTCGCTCCGACGCTGGCATACAGTTCATGAGCAACGTTGATCATCACGTCGATGTCGCTTCGCTTGCGTCCGGTCGTGTTTTTTAATAAGGGCTCCGATGCAAGCACTGATAACGAATACTAGTAATAGCACAATATGACGATGATGCCCTCATCAAACGATGAGCCCGCTTGCCCGGTGCGCTCCTAGACGCGCGGTTCAGCCGAGCGAGCTGATAAAAACCATTCGACCCCGACGGCTCGGCTCCGCTCCGTTCCTGCGGTGGTCCCTCCCTGCTTCTGGGCATCGGCGACTCGATCTCTTGTCGTCGAGAGTGGTCCGTCAATGGCGTAGACCCGAAGAGGAATCGAACATTTGTTGCTCCCTCGATTACGCATCGGATACCATTCACCGCCAGAGCATAGAGGAAGCGATTCGTCGGGATCTCTTTGGATATCCAGACCAACCGCCATAGCAGCGGGAGTCGGAAAAGCTCTGCATCGCTCTCAGAAACATCTCAAACTGATTCAGAGAGATTTTTCTTTCAATATGGGGGCGGGATCTGAGCCGGCAATGCCTCGTATCAAAAGGAATCGTTCTCCGCGCAAGCGGCAAATAGAGCTCGGGAGTGTGAGAGGCAAAAAACGTCTAACGATGATATTTCTCTCACTGCTAAACTTCGGCTTGCAACACTTTCGAGACACCGAGAATTTCAAGTGGTTGCATCGTCCTCGGCAGGAGAACTCTATCAGCCTGAACGAATAGCTTCAAGGAGCACCAGGAAACGAAGGTAGGTAACACTTGACAGTTTTTCGCACCACTCGGCGACGACTTAGGCGACCGTGTCAGCAAATACTTAACGAGACTCGTGGAGATGCTACGACCGTTCGTACGCGCGAAGGCTCGCATCCAGGCCCATGGCGGCTCCGGAAGGCCTACATAATACAAATGATGTGTTATCAGGGATACGTATCCCAGGAGCCGCCTCGATGTTTCTGAAATCCGTTTTCGGGAAGTTTGCCGCCGACTCGCAAAATACTCCTCCCGTCTCAACACCGATTCAAAACCGAAGTCAACCAAGCAGCGGGGAGGGTGAACCGGTGACACGCGATCAACGAATCCGAGCGGAAAGGGGACACCGTGTGGTGTTGCATGTAAAATGATTCGCAGACGAAAGTCCAAACAAAAAGCTAGACGGCGAGACGCGCAAAACATTTTCCGAACATATCGAGTGAATGTGCGCGCGTCCGAAAGTCGGCTCCCCATTCACGATACACTTTGCATCAGAATGTTCGGAACAGGAAGACAGATCTCGACATACACGTTCAGCCAGCGGCAGCGGTGGTGACGGAGGCAGCTAGGCAGCCAGCAGGCGAGCAAGTCGAAGTCCGTCGTCGCTTTGATCTTACGATCCCAAAGCATCATCATCCAGGTCGCACTCGTCCTCATCCTGGTCGTTGTCGTCGTCGTCATCATCATCGTCGGCGCAGTCATAGTAGTCATCATACAAGCCGTGAAATACAACCCTTCGCGGAGAAACATTTTCACTTTCTCACACGCGAACCTCCCCGGGGTCGAGAACTCGAACACATACCGCCAGCCCCGCGTCCCTTTTTTTTCATCCAGCTCCCTCTCGCGCATTCTATCCCTCCGCTCGATTCTCCTCGAGCTCGACGGAGACTCTTCGGATCCAGCCCCCTCGGTCCCTGTGGCCTTGAAAGATGACTTATGTGTGGGTGAAAGTTGATTGATCCACAGAAATCCCTCTTTCTTTCTCGTCTTTTTTTTCGAACAACAAAGCTGTCGGAATGGCTTTGGGGAAGGAATTCAACTTAGAAATTGTCGAGAAGGGTTCGCTCGGTCTTTCTTTCGTCCCTTGTTCCTTCCCTCGGTCGCAGAAACATTCTCGCTCAGTGGTTTTGTAGGTGTTTTTTTTCCCGCAGCGAGCACACACCACCATTCTGAATTTCCTCGATTCCGATATTTTCTCGAAATTGTTGCGATGACCGGGATCTATCCTTGTCCGAGGCCAAAGCAAGATCTCGTGCTATTTGTTGACTGCGGCAGCGATGAGACGACCGATAGGTATCCGCGATGGCATTCGTATGCGTGTGATTATAAGAGCGATCGCGAGCACTATTCCGTTATCGGGCTCACCTTTGAATGCCGTCGTCGGGTTGCAGAGCGATTGCACTGTGAGTTTCTGTAAAGGAAAGAGATCACAGTTGCAGTTTTTGTCGTGTTCAGCCTTGCTTCCGACGAAGCCACGTCATGAAGTGATCGGGGAGGAATCGAGGAGATTAAAGACGATCCTGGGCAAGGTCATCGATCAGAGACTTCGACTCGGAGAATCGAATAATTCTCTGAGAAACGTTAGGAATCGAGGATTCCGAATTGCAAAATCGGCGGAGAATCCATGGTGTTGTGGAAACCTTGCGATCTGGACCGGCTGTCGGATCATTCCTTCTCCGCAGGATTCCTTTCTGAGCGAGACGCACCACGGACGAAGATGCTGTCGCTGCTCTCCGGAGATGGTTGATGACGTATTTTCTCCCTTCAATTTTTTTCCTCCCGTTTCTGCCGGTCGTCGCTGGCTCTCTTTATCTCCCTGTGATTCCAATCTGAATCATAGCCGGGCTAATCGAAATCGAGAGAGCTTCGGGTGAAACCCTACACCGCACAGCAGCCCGTCTCTGCCTACTTGCATGATTCTCTCACTCTCGATCGCTCTCTCTATCTTCGCGAAGTCTTTGTAAAAACATATCCGCTCAAGGATTTCTTGCTTTTCTCCCCTCCCCGATGCTCACCCTTCGAGGAAGGCGAGCGCGCGACTGTCTGTAACCGATGAAATAGAATGAGTGTCCTTCTTAACCTTTCCGAAAAAGAATAAAGAACCCAATCAAATGCAGTTGGAGAATAAGGAGATGATGAGTAGCCGACCCTTCAGGCTCAGGGTCTAGCCGTCTCGCTGCCTGCCTCCCGATAGGATAGTAATTTCAGGTAACAGGGAGAGAAGACGATCTCCTCAACCGAACACGGGAGAGTTCCCCTTCCTACCCTCTCTCCGAATTCCGATCCCGATCGATTGAAGCAACCTCTAAGGTCAGCATATAATTCGGTCCCATCTTCCGATTTTTAATTCATCGTTTCGATTATTTCAGGGAGAGAGATCGCCCCGAAATCCGATGGGCCTATAAGAGCTCGCTCAGAGAGCCTATCCGTCTGGTCAGCGAATCCTCCCGTCAGTTCCGGATGGACCACGGTGCGCGATACAAACATAACACATGAGCGATTGACGCCGACCACGAAGAAGTCGACTTCTGCGTCAACGGTGACAGTGGCGGCAACGCCTCATTGGCGACGACTGTGTGTGTGTTTGTGCGCGAACGCTAAGTATGAAGATCATCTACCTCCATGAAGAGAGCCCCGCTCGCTAACTTGAGAACGCATTGAATGCATTCTCTTCGCTTCACATTTTCTGATCAAACAATTTTTTGAGAAAATTCTCGCCCAGAACCGCAAGAGTGGAGAAATCGGAGGACCCCCATCTGAGTCGCACAATCACAATCAGAGTAATGAAACCCTAAATTCCCAAACGGATTCTCTGCTCCGAGAGGGATCGGCTCCTGATCCCGAGCCTTGGAACTCTCACTCGCGACGATCATACCCAGAGCCGGATTTGGATGCCACCGGAATTAAACGATGGACCGAGCTGACAAGAAATCGATGGCAGGAGTCCTCCCGAAGAAATCGCGAACTCCAAGAAAAGAGAGAGGAAGTCTCCCAGAGATGAGCCGAGCTTCCGAATGGTGTCTGGAGATATGAAATATCCGAGGCAGGTAGCCGGCAGGCGGTTTCCATTATAAGAGACTCCGAAGGAAATTGACGCTAAAAAATCTCAGCCGAGTCCATAACCACCGGCAGCAAACGACTGAGTTTTTGTTCTTTTCTCTCAATATGTGTCTCTCTATTCCCCTCTCGGCCTGATTAAAGATGAAGTCTATCCCCAGAGGATGAGGCTGAAGTGCCGGACAGATCGAGTTAACGCCGGCCGGCATAGGCACCGGTGGTCTCGTAGCGGCCGTCGCCGCTTCCTCGAACCTCCACGAACCATTATGTTATTAGCCTTGGCCATCTAGCCATTTTTCCGTTTTCTTTTCGAACGAGCCGCCCTGGTCTCGAGGTTCGAATACCGAGGATGGGGCTTCCGATCCCGAGGTTTGAATTTGAGGCGCCAGCCAACTTCCCCCCGCCCCCTTGATACCGGAGCCATGGTTCGGTCAAGTTTTTACGCTCCCGGAGCACGACTGTGCGCGAGATCTCTGATCGATGTCGAGCTCGAAGGTCGGGGATCAGGATTCGGACTCCTACGGACGAGGTCCTGGATGACGCGGTGGTGGCACGCCACGGAATGGGGAACAATCATAGAAAAGGAGAAGGAAGCGTAAGGGATCGATGGAACCCACCTTTGTTGTGAATGGCCGGCTTCAAGTACGGGCCGAAGGTACACGCAGGTCCGATGGAGCCCTGGAATCGGAAAGAGAAGTCTTCAAAATTTGTTCAGAAAATCATCCACTCTGCAGAAATTCATCGAAGCCGCAACAATCCGACTCTTATTTCCCCGCAATGGGGTCGCAAGCTCCGCATTTCGGGAGCAGGAATTTTTCACGTCCTGAACGAAATGAAGAAGACCGGGTGAATAATGCACCGGGTACGCGATGTATCGATGCGTCATTCACACCCAGTTGTACACGACGAGTCATGTGGATCGGTGATCTGAGTAAGTGATAGACGACTGGACGATCGAGTAAGGTGAAGAGGGGACATCGACGAGACGGACGGAGCTCTGGATGATGGCAGCGTGATCAGATGTTGGGGAGAGATATTAGAAAAAAAGAGAAAAGCGATTGGTCGTATCCGAGCTTTGCGTGCCCAGTAGGCTCCAATCGAAGAGCGCTACGCGTACACAGATAGCGACGCGTTGATAACGTGCCAGAGACATGGGTAGGCTCCGTATCGGGAACGGTCGAATCGAGAAGTCGAGTCCGTTCGAATTGAAGTGCGTCCGAATTCGATCTGTACACGGCTCGGGCAAGTTTCGCTCGTGATCCGAAGTGCTTTCCGTTCTCGTATATTTGCGCCTTCCAAACGATCGCCGATGGAAAAAATGTAACTCGACCGGAGGATTTCGGACGTACAGAACAAGACGCGCCTCTCGCGGTGAAGACTCGATCAATCAATTAGGAGAGTTTTGATCCGTCTTCATAATTCTCTGATAAGTTAGCGCCAGCTTCAGCCACTCGAGTACATTCGGAACCGCGCACTAGAGAAACGACTTGCTTTGAGTGGGAATGTCAGCTAATATATTTGAATTAGGTAGTTGATGGTAGCGAGACGTCACTTGTACTCGTCTTTTTCTAATTTCTCCTCCCGAATCTCATCCTCGACGCTTCGCCATTCCTGCACGGGCAGTCGGGAATCAAGGCTTAAACAGTGGATTCAGGGGAGGGGGGGGGGGACTCGATTCGTCAAAGTTGAGTCTCAGGAGAACCACGTTCGAGATCCGAACCCTTCTCTCCTCTTCCCTGTCGCATAGTCTTCATGCAGCCTAGATCGGGATCGAACCACCAGGCGATGCCTTGTATTATAGCATGCGGAAAGCATCATCCGTCGACAGTTACGCGGAATCCACGAATTCCAGCTTGAGTTCGCCCTCCACAAGCTCCCCTACAGATTCAACTCGAACAGATGCGAGCGCAGAGACATTAATCGAGACGTCTGCCTGTGGTCCCGGCGGAATGGATGACAGAGTTCGTCATACATTCATATCATCGCGTATATCCAGATAGAAATATTCGGTGCCAAGACGATGACGGAGAATTACTAAAACTCTTCCAAATATCCACTCAACGACGTCAGTCACTGAAACGGATGACATCGGCTACAGCCGCTGTTGTCGCGCTAGTCTTGGCCAATTATTAAGATAGATAGATGCTTATCGCTTAGCGCCGTTAGGCGTTGAGAATGTCAACATTTTTACCGCGCTATTCGCCGATTGCCATTGAATGGGATCCTCTCGGTGACGTCAGGCGATTGGGAGGCAGCATCGAAGCTGACAGCGAGCTGTTGCTGCGACTCGACTCGAGGCAGAACTCGCTGAATATTTCCGCTGGCCCCGCTGGACTCCTCCCCCTCCAGAATCCAGAACTCGTTGAGAGACTCATGGGCGGAAGCTTGCTCGCATCATATTTTTTTCTCCATGAAATTTGCGAATACGCATTGCGGTGTAGGAATAAGCGAGACTCATCCCATGGAGAATACGAGGCATGATATCAATCGAATAGAGATCGCAGCCTCGTGCTGACCGTTCTATCCTTCCGAGCTGTTTGGGTGAGTGGGGGATCTCGGCGAGGGCACGATCCAGCTCCCGGACCGCAGCGATAACGGCATTGAGTTCATTTGAATGTTTTCCGTTCAGACTTCAAAATACGCGCCCGATATGAATAGAGAGCGAGAGTGAGATGGATGCCGAGGAAGAGAGAGGTTGGTGATCTTTTGGTGCGGGGCGGTGTCCATGACGTTCCAGCAAGAGATGTCCGACCATCGGTCGGTCGCTCACTCGCTCGCTTTGGTCTTTCGGTCGTCGTCAGCGGCAAGAAGGAGCCAGCGACAAGGAGAGATGCAGCAAGTCAGAGCCAGATACAGCGAGAGAGAGGGACGGAGCGACTTATTTGAATATTTGGATTTAGGGCTCATTTGTCGTCTTTTCAGCGCGCAGCCTTTACTCTGCCTTGGCCACCGTGGTGCCTGTCTGCATCGCCTGCTTGCCTGCCTGGTCGCCCGCTCGGCCGCCTGCTTGCCCTACCATCCCACGACGACCGGCACTGTACGCGTTCTACATGGAAGAAGCAAGTGAGCGAGGCGCTTGTTTGAACAAAATTCAAGATTTATAGCCGTTTCGAATCGCCCTCCATCCCGCAAGCAAGCCAACGTTTCTTCGGTGCCTTCAGCGTGGCGGCTGTATGCGTGTCCTCTCAGCTATCGCCAAAGAAACGCTTGGCTACCCGGAGGGGCAAAGGACGAATTGAAGAGAGAGACCAGGGAAAGAGGAGCGACGGAGAGAAGCGGCAGGGACAGGGAATCTGTAAAAGGAGTAGACGGGAAGGATAAGGGGAGGAAAGTTCGCGGGGAATGAAATGGGACCACCGCCGAGGAGAGCGGGTAGAGCTACTCGGAGCCAGTGGGACTGGACGTCATTGATGTCCGGAAGCATCCACGTCTTTCTGCCCCCACCCCCAGTCCACGGTCAAGGATCGCCGGGCGTCCCCTTTCCCCTCCCCCTCATCAACCCCCTCGACATACCGCGCTCGATTCCCTAGCCCCACAGGGCAAGAAGGAACGGGGGTATGAAATGAGGACTCTCGAACGTAGCCAGTCTCAACGGTCTCGCGGTCGTTGACGGCGAGTCCCTCCGTCGTCGTCGACGATGATCCCGTTGTTATCCTCAACCGGCTCGCTGGAAGCTATTTCGGATTCTGTCGCTTATCCCGTCCTTTTTCTTCTGATATTGTTGGTCGCATCTCGTGATGTCTCCGGGCATGGGTTCCCGCCGCCTCTCGTTCCGCTTCGGAGTCGGGCTCGACGCCGCCGTCCTGCTCAATTCAATGCTGAGATGTCCGAATTTGAAATCGGCGGCAGATACTGATCGGACGAGAGACAAGATATTCAGATGTCGGATAACCGGGAACGGGTCGATTTTTCCCGCCTAGCCATTGCGATTCTTCTCTCCAGGAGTTTATATGCCCGCGTTCCTCGGGCGGGCGGGAGGCAAGAGTTTCTCGCGAATGATTCGGTCGTATTCATCGGACTCCGACCGAGGCGATGACGAATCAGAAGAAATCTGTCGTTGAGCCCACAATGACGACAATGGTAACGGCGACGGGAGGAAAAATAAACTTCGAATTATCCTTCCCGCGGCCAATGGCTTCTGTCCCTCCGACTTCCTCCCAGCGAGTCGGTCTGGTTTTCTTCGCAGCGAAGAATATGCAGAAAGAGTGTAGACAGACAAAGAGCCGGTCGTTCAGTCAGTCGGTTGGACGGTCGTCAGTGAAGCACAAATTGTCGATCCGTCTCCTAATCAGAATCGCTATTGATCTTGGCGTGCTCAGCGGATCCGCTTCAACGAATCGATTCGCTTCTTCTATATATTCCCGCCGGTTGTTCTCTTCCTTTCCGATGATTTCCCGTATGAATATTCTCCAGTACTTCCATTCCTTTTTCTATATCACTGCTCGGTCGTGTCCGACTGGAAGCACACCGGCGGCTGAAGACGAGTTTCGCCGCTGTCTTCCGATGCCAGGACAACGTGTGGATCGTGAAGCTCTCACGAGTCGCTTCTCTGCGGCTCGCTTTTCATCCTCGTGAAAAATGCGGAATATCAGCAACTCGATATAACACCCGATTTTGAATTCGAGAAGTTGCTTTCTGAGCTCAGATCGGCAAGATCTAGAATATTTCCCGGCAATTCGCTTCTGCAGATATCATCGAACGTTCGTGACGGCACAATAGAACAAAAAAAATCCAGAAGCCTCCGATAGCAACCTTATCGAGAACATGGCGGAACCGGCTCCGCCTGGAGTTCGCGAAAGCCCCCTATGGGATTCAGAGCTCTCGATCGAAGCTCTTTAATGACTGCGTTTGCGAAACGAGCAGCCAAGTTTGAGAACCATCGAGACAGTCTCTGAGGAAAAGTCACATCTCGGCACTCACGGCGCGCGGCGGTATCTGCTCGAGCGGAGCAGAAAATAGCGGAGATCGAAGCTAGCGCAGAGGAGACATTTCCGGATCGAAACTCCGTATCTCGCCTTTCTATAGAGCGTCGAAAGTTCATGTTTTTCTCTCGAGTCCGCAATAAGGCGAATCGGGAAGCCTGTTTATGCACAACTTTCCACCAGAACAGAGAACTACCGTCGTGGCGAAGTTTTCGTCGTTTTCGAAAAAATCCCCCGCCCCTACCTCCCGCGCATGCATCCAATCAGCGCGAAAGTGTCGCTGATGGAAATTGATACGATATTCCTTCCCTTGCCGTAGTTCGCCGCTCAAGAGGCAGACAGCGCGAGATGGCGATCAGGAACAGAGAGAAGAAGAGAGTGAGCTTCAGCGTGAATCGATCGTGCATTCGAACGGCGGCGTCAGACACCTACATACATGCACTCTGCATGCATCTATGTCTGTTATCGGTCGTTGGTATCTCTTTCTCTTTTGCTTATTAGCATCGTAGTCGCTGCTGCTGCTGCCGTCGTCATCATCGCTTCCATCATCGGCATCGGCATCGACATCAACAACGACAGCACAAAAAAATGGAGTTGCTGCCTGGACGACGACGACGACAACAACAACGACGACGGTGACTGACGTCGCGGAAGGGTTGATGCCACGCGCTCGACTCTTCCTCCGCGTAGATTTCTGTTTACGCTTCCGGTCAAGAACTGCAGGAGATTTAAAGTTATTTCATCTGAAGTCACTCCAGTAAGTCCAAGAAACAATTCGTTCGACTTGAAGCCCATCGGAATGGACCTGGATCACGCACGTTTGCGATGCGTCGTCCGGAACGTCGTCGAGAAATCAATGGCGGAAGCCTCTCGGTCAAGCGCTCGTCATACTGGGAGGCTCATGGATCGAGAATTAATAATTCCGCGCCACGAGCGACGGGATCTGTGTGAGCGTAAATGTACT